GTAAAAGTAAACGGAGGGAGTATATAAGAAATATTAATTAATGCGCAACATAGAATTCTATCTGCCAAGCTGATCCATAAATAGTTCTATTTTATTATATTTTATTTTATTTTTAGATTGAACACTAATATAAATTGAAAAAGAAAAAAAAGATGGATACCGGCTGCCGCAAGAAGAAATTAACTTACGAAAGACACATAAGAAGAAACAAAAGGAGAAAAAATAAAGTAAATTCTTAGTTATTTCATTTATTTAGATTTAATTAAATAAGTATGAATTTAAGAAGGAAAGAAAACTTTGACACATAAATTAACAATGTATAATTTATCAAAATGTCCTTAGGTTGTATCATTTACAATATTTCATGTCAATGTACACATGATCAAGTCATTGAGGACACTTGGAAAAGGTCAAGTTTTTAGAGTACATCTAAAGAACAAAATTTTAGTTACTTACTCTTGGCAAATTATATCTAAAGAAAAATAAAACAACATATCTCATAACATGTATGTTGTCGTTAACCATTTTTTAGGAGCTATGGAATTAATGTCTTTATTTTCAAACCTTATAATACTAAAAAAAAAATCATTTTTTAAAATTTGTTTTATTTATAAATCATTGAATTATTTATAAACCATTGAATTATCGTTTATCAAAATAAATCATTGAATTATTTATATATAAACCATTGAATTATTGTTTATCAGAATAGATCATTGAATTATCGTGATAAAACTTATTTCCTCAAATTAAGAAGTGTGAAGATCATACACTAACTAAAAGTACTCTAGCGTGTAATGTGAGTAGAAGCCTATTTAGGCTACTAAAGCTAATACATGCACTTATTTTAATATTACAGTAAGACATTCAAGTACTTTTATATGACAGGGGTTCCTTCTATTATTGAGTTAGGTTAATATGATTTAACATTCTTTGTTTTCAGGAACTTATATTTTAAAATTTTTATTATAATATTCAGCCATATTTTTATAAAATTTATGTGGATTTTTTAATTTTGTACCCCAGAGTAGATGTTTATTGACTTTTTTACCTTTTAAAAATAGATTTCACCTTGGACAAATTATTATTTAACTGTTTTCTTGATGTTTAGAACTTTGAAATCAACTAAAACTTTGCATGTTATCCTTTTTCATTTGAATTTTGTAGAAAGTTCTAACATTTAGAATTTTAAAATCAATTAAGATTATTTTATATAGTTAAATCTCTCTATAACAATATCGTTTGCCCGAATATTTTTTGATTGATATAGTAGAATGCTGTTATAGAGAACATATAATATGGCATAACATAAAAAAGAATAGTTTACAAATAAAATTTATGACTACAGTGAAATATTATTGTATAGGGTGATTTTTATATAGAGGTTTAAAGGCATAAATTCTTTCCTTACTTGACTAACTTTTATGAAAAATAGCTTAATTTTATTGTTTTACATAAAATAATTATCTTAGATCTTGACAAACTAAGAACTAAATTTTTTGTTCTCCCATTTAATTTTTAAAAAGATTTTTTTATTCTCTTGGGAAATGGAAATCATTTCTTCATAAATTAAAGTTTGGTAGAAAGTTATCTATTCACTTCATACATGATAACTAGAAATACTTTTGTTGTTTTTGTTTTAAAAGATGGGGCAACACAAAGGGGTTAAAAATGGGATTGAAATGATTTTCAATAATTTTATTAAGCATTGAGGGGCTTAAAATAGCCAATATAGAACACATAATCTGCATAGTGTTGAAATTTAAAACAACCTAAAATATCACAACTACTCAAACAATTTAACTAAAATTCAAAAGTCATCTTAAACTAAACAACTTATTTTGCTAAAAACTACTGCAGTAATTAAAAACATATTTTAGTTACCGTGTTAATGAAATAATATTCATTTTTTATTATTTAAATAAATATTTGCTTTTCTACCCTATGGCAGAGGTAATGTCTGCATACATTCTACCTCCCCAAATCCCACTTTGTGGGGGATTGATTTGAAAATCAAGTAACATCCATAAAGACATACATTACATTAGATATGATGTTGTTAAATAAATATCTGTTTTTATTTTAACTTCAACAATTATTTTATAAAAATATATCTTTTTGTACATATTTTTTGTTTGTTGATGCGATACACGTGCAACGCACATACGCTAAAACGAAGGGCTACAAAGTAATTTAGTTTTATAAACTTAAGAGGTATATATATACAATACATACACGTGGTAATTGAAGATACCAAGAGAAATTAGTAGAAGGTAATAAAATAAATTTGTATCCTATAAATAATTTGCAAAACATATACCATGTTTGGTCTATGGCAAATAACTTGCCAACATTTGGGCCTTAAAGTCTGTTTGAATACTTTTCCTTTGAGATCTGAAATGGGCTAAGAGTGATTTGAGAAATATGCCCTTTTGAAATCAGTTGACTTGGGCCAAACCCCAAATTTGTTTTGACATACATTGCGTATCCATAAAGATCCCTTGGGTTGAACTTGTTAATAAATCAAATTTTAAAAATTTGGCCAGACATGGCCATTTTTTCATTGAGTCATAAGCGGATTCATGATTTGGAGGTTTTGGGTGTCACATTGTTTGGAACATAGACATGTTGCTATTTACACAATCCAAATAGGGTAAATATTTGATGTGGTTACTGTTCTGGATGATTTTCCATGTTGTCAGTAGTATGGAATCCATGACTTCTTCATTTTCATTTTTTCTTTTCCCGTTCTTCTTTGGACTGTGTTTCCCTTGAGCTGAGAGTCTATCATGAACATTCTCTCTAACTCCAAAGGTAGGGGTAAGGTTTGCTTACACTCTATCCTCCCCGGACCCCACTTTCTGAGATTACACTAAGTATGTTGTTGGGCTTCAGTTTGGGTAATTCGTCTTTTCGATTTATAGAGGCAACTCGATAAAATGAAAAAATGAAATAATTACAACTTGGTGTACAACAAAAAATTTCAACAATATTACTAATATCATTAATACATATAATTTATTTATAAATGTACTTGACGAAGTCATATTTTGGAAACACTCTATGATGCATACTTACTTATATTCATGAATATATCACGCTTTTTGTGATAAATTAAACAATCATTTATTAGTTTAGGAGGCATCTTATTTGTGTGCTTACATAAGTTGTTAATAAGTTTAAGCAAGCATATTGATTAGACATTACGTTTGAGTGTCACAAGGAGGAATTAATACATAGTAATAATCAGTTAGTATGAAATAGGAATCAAGATCGGCTTAGGAAGAAGCTCCATAAGTAAACAGTTGAGGCTAAAATGAAGTAGTTTTTTTTTTTTTTTTCAAAAAATAAGTACAAAAAAGATTTGTAAAAAATAATTGTCGGAACAATCAAGAAATGAGAGAGTTCTGGGAGGATCTGCCACATTTTCAAACTTCAATGAAATCCAAAATATTTTATGCTTGATAAAAAGGAAAAAGAAAAGAAATCAATCAATTTAAAAGGACAATAAAGAATTAAGTTTAAATTTTTTACAATTAAGTCATAATTCCAAAAAAGATTATTTCATATCTCACACTACCTTAATGATGTGAGGTCATTGTATTTTGTGGCACATGTTTATATGTGAGGTCAGGTGTTACTGTAAACCAAAAAATGAAAAAGAGATTGGAGAAAAAAGAGTTTTTGTAATACACAGACAAATACAGACTAGAGAGATACAATTTTTTGAAAAAATAATTTACAAATAATAGGATCCACAACAGAAAATAGGAGAGTGGGAAAATTTAAAAGAAAGGAAAAAAGATGAGAGGGGCTGAGGCCTGAGAGCCGGGTCCACTTAAATCTAGGTGTCAAAGGTGTTATGGTTCCACGGGTAATAATCTTTTCCTTAAACTTGGAATACTATAAAAAAAGATTAGGAAGTGTGGTAAATGGGAATTGAACTCTGTTAAGATGTAAAACTTAACTTTGCCACTGGCTCCTCTTCACATTTCTCTAGGTGGCACGCCTAATAAATATATGATTTCCTATACATATAAACATAATTTTAACCTAGGCCTCCGCTGGCATGGCATCCCCACCCTTCTACATAGATCTGCCCCTGCATTGAGTGCCTAGAAAACGTTTTAGGCCTAATCAGCACCTTAAAAATTCTGCAGAAAATTTATATTGAGCCCAAATTCTTTCAAGGCCAAAGTGGCCAAAATTTTAGCAATTGGAACAAAGGGCTTGTCTTTAAATCTGCAATTTAGCTCCTTAAAATCTGTTTGCTTGAACTCTCATTTTTGTTTGAAGGCAACCTGAAAACTTTGTTAGAAATAGTTGAGTTGTTAAAAGTCTTTCAGGTTTATCTCATTTGTGAATGCAAATAAATTCTGGAAACATGCTAAAAGGAAGTTAATCGAAACCAAATGTTATAATTGAATTTAAGCTAAGCAACTACAACAGTTTAAGTTGCATGAACTTCTCAAAGAGATTATTCTATTATTCTACAACAGTCTTAATGAAGTTGCCGTTGAAAATGTCTATTACGGAGCTTAGCTAGAGGGGATAACTATTCAATGAAGAGCTTTCCAAGGTGTGACTCAGTTGATGAAACTGGATTAAAAATCATAGGAGACCACGATCTGAAATCCCGCAGAGGCCAGCTGGACACAGTTACCTTACTCTAAGTATGTATTGGTGGGATGATGTAAGTACTCAGTTAAATAGTCACAAGGTGCATGCAAGATGGTTCAACACACCACTGTTATTTAAAAAGAAAAGGGGTGTTAGCAGGACAAGATGGTGGCAGTAAATGGTTAGGTTGAAAAGGAATGCAATAAATTAAGGCTGAAAAACAAATGTAAATCACTACAAATGTATTATATGCAGTGAAGCATTGTTCTTCAGACATTCACTGTGAAAGCTCATTTTTCATTGTTTCTTGCTCACTTTACCTAAACTTGCTACTGATTCTCTCTCTCTCTCTCTGACTGTGCACTTTCATGGGAATAAAGTGGCTTTGCGACAGATAACATCATTAAAGTGCTGCATGGGGAACGTATCGGCACCCTCTTTCATTGTGATGCCAATAAATGGGCCTCAATTGGAGAGATTGATGCTCGTGAGATGGCAGTTGCTGCAAGGGAGTGTTCCAGACGGCTTCAGGTATATTTAGAGGGGCATCTGGCTATAACATTTTGTATGCTGCAATGGATGTGACTATATATTTTTTATTCACCTCCAGGCACTGTCTTCCCAAGAAAGGAGTAAAATATTGCAGGATATAGCTGATGCACTGGAAGCAAATGAAAAGGCAATCCTCGCTGAGAATGAAGCTGATGTGGTTGCTGCTCAACAGGCCGGATATGAGAAGTCTTTGATATCTCGGCTGGCTTTAAAGCCAGGAAAAGTAAGAGCTTGCTCACTTATGCAACTTTGTCTGAGTGATCATGTACCTTTTTAATACTCTTGCTGAAATTGATACTCCTTTTTCATAGATTTCTAGTCTTGCAAACTCAGTTCGTGTGCTTGCTAAGATGGATGAGCCCCTTGGTCGCACTTTAAAAAGAACGGAGGTGAGTAAATCAGATCAAATATAAGTGGCACAGGTAGTTTTTACTGACATGAGGAACAAACAGATTGTGAAGGAATCTTTTGAAGTACCTCTTTATAGAAAACCTTCTGCACTATCAGACGATTTTAGTGGGTATTATACTATCACTATGTCCAGTGACAATTACACTGAATGGTATAGCCAAAGATATTTTTGTGGTTGTTTAGTTTCTTGAGTCATGTAATGAACGGGCTGACTTGCTGGAAGATTGGGAGAAATCGAGATGTGGATTTGTAACTTACAACTTTCATTGATCAGTGTTCAATTATTAGCCTTTAATTTCAGAATGGGATGTTGATTTGATCTCTGGAATGTTGTCATCTTGTTCAGGTTGCTGATGGATTCATCTTGGAGAAATCATCAGCTCCGTTAGGCGTTCTATTGATTATTTTTGAGTCACGACCCGATGCACTTGTACAGGTATGCAATGCTGGCAAAGTTGATGTTTCCCACTAACAGAGACTCTGCTGCATGCCTTTTACTTTCCCCCCTTCCCAATATGAATTAGTAGGGTTCACTTTTTAGTAGTTATTCAACACGTTTTTGTTACTAGTAGTGGGGATAATGATGGCAGACATGTCACTATATGTAAACTTATGGAATTCTCTGCATGCTTGAAGTGCCCATCCTTGGATTATACTTTTACCGTTCACAAACTCGTTGCAATTTTTTTTGCATGACTAGATAGCTTCTCTAGCAGTCCGAAGTGGGAATGGACTCTTGTTGAAAGGAGGAAAGGAGGCCAAAAGATCAAACGCCATCTTACACAAGGTTTAACTGATAGTATTATGTTCTCATACCCTCTATACTGGAGGTTCACATTCTCTTCATTTCATGACAACTTTGTCACCTTCTCCTCTTTTTTTTCTTTTTTTTTCTTTTGTGTGTGTCAGGTGATTACCTCAGCCATTCCTGTAAGTGTAGGTGAAAGGCTTATTGGACTAGTGACTTCTAGAGAAGAGATCCCTGAATTGCTTAAGGTGCCTGCCAAATTTCTTAGGAAACTTATATTATATCTCTGTTTCGTTTTCAAGAAATCATGACCTACATTACACATGATTTTGGTTCTTTGTTTTTTTCCTGCATTGCAGCATGATGATGTGATTGATCTTGTTATCCCAAGAGGTAGCAATAAACTTGTTTCTCAAATCAAGGCATCAACAAAAATTCCTGTTCTAGGCCATGCTGGTAATTATGTGTTAGTTGAATATTAATTACGTGTACATGCTTTCTCTGCTTTGATATCAAGGATTCTGTTCCGATGATGAGAAAGTCACTTTGTTTGCTTCCAGATGGAATTTGCCATGTTTATGTTGACAAGTCTGCTGACATGGATATGGCAAAGCGCATTATTGTGGATGCAAAAACCGATTATCCTGCAGCCTGTAATGCGATGGTAGTTTCTTATACCTTTTTGTAAAGCAGTGTCCAGTATTTAACTTCAGTAGTTTATTGTTTTCTTCTGTTTTTGTGAAATTTTTTTCATTGCTGTCCCTTATAGGAAACACTTCTTGTGCATAAGGATTTGGCACAAAATGGAGGTCTTAATGATCTGAGTGTGGAACTTCAAACAAAAGGTATTTTTTTTTTTTTGCAAACTCCTTCAATAATTGAGCTTCTACATGAATACTTAAGTTTCTGAGATTTGGGTGCTGGTGTCCGAAATGAGTGGATCTAGAGATGGATCCTTCATAATCTACTGTCAAAAGAAACTGAACATGATTATTGCATCTGTTCATTCCTTAATTTCACAATCATAGATGTAATTTTAAGATCTGGGGGAACGGATCCTGTAATGTATACGGATACGTGGCTTGGCTAAAAATAATTCAAATATCTAAATTAGATATGCCTAAATTATGGTGGACTATTTGGAAGGAAAGGAATGCATAAATTTTGAGAGCAAGTTTGAATTTGTAATTATTATTAAGTACAAACGCACTTCCTTACAGTTTTTATGGTGTTACATGGCTATTGCAAATGATTTAGTGGTCATGATAGACTTCTTGAGTTCATTGCGCATTCAGCAGTGATGTTGATCTATAAATATCTTTAAAGCATCTTCTGGTTGATGGCTTTTTCATACAAATATCTTTTAACAATAAAAAAATATATGCCTAAATTATGATTTCACCCCAGCTTTTGTTTTGATTTCAGAAATCATTGCATCTCTCTCGAATGTCTTTATCAATTTTGGTTATAATACCCAAAATCGATTGACCAAATCTGTTATGGTCCCTGTTATGGATCTAGTTATGGGACGCTGCAAGATAAAATTTGAAGTTTTCTTCTTACGACCTATGGTGCTGGTTCGTTAAGAGAGAACCTGCAATCTCTTGAGTTAAAGTACTCAAAAACTGAAATTACTTTTCTGCTTACCTTTTCTGAGACAAATAAATAGTTTAAATACAACACTTAAAAAGATAACTACCCCTAGAAACTAGGACATGACTTCCTAACATTACTAGAATGAAAAACTGCACTATTACAGGAAAATAACTACTACTAAAAGGAAATAACTACTGCTAAAAAGAAATAACTAAAGCTGTAACTATTGGATGACTAATGAGTGATAACATTACTCTCCTCCTTCAAATCGCGCTTGTCCTCAAGCGCTAAGTGCAGTGAGAAATCTACTGTCTTGGATTGATGACCTCGTCTATAAAGTCAATCCAGAATAATTTCTTGCATTGATGACCTCGGGTGAATGGTTCATCACAATTGAAACAAAGTCCCTTAAGTCACCTTTCCTCCATTTCAGATTTGGTCAGTTTCTTCACAAATCTGGCATGTTGAGGTGAGAAATCTGCTGTCTTGGATTTGCAAGCATCTAACGATTGCGAACAAACGGGTTGTTCCTTGCGTTCATAAAGTCGAGATAAACTCATCGCCGTAGCCAAATCTGGAGGATTATGTAACTCAACCTCAATTGCTATATAATCAGTAAGATCACGGATATAGAGTTCAATTTTTTGCGACTGAGTGAGTGTACCGGCCCGCGAAATTAACTGCTCAAACTTTTCTTGGTAATTTGTCACAGACCCAATCTGGCATAACTTACCCAATTCTCCCAATTTCTGACTTCTAATTGGTGGCCCAAAGCGAAGGTTACATTGACGTTTGAATTCATCCCAAGATGGTTGAGGCATATCTATCTCTAGTTGAAGAAACCAAAGTTGTGCATTGCCTTCTAAATGAAAAGAAGCAAGTCCAACCTTTTCTTCTTCTGGAGTTTGTTGGTGTCGAAAGAAGTGTTCACATCTTTTCAACCACCCCAAAGGGTCCTCTTGGCCATTAAATCGTGGGAAATCCAACTTTGTATGTCGAGGAATGATGAAACTTCCTCCTACTTCTGATCCCGACCAACCTACCACTTTATTTTTTCCCCTCCAACCGCGATTCTGACTTGTATTTTCATTTGAATCAGAATCAAGCTTAGAATTCTCCAAATCCTTTGCGAGTGCATCCAAACGAGCATTTATTGCTTCCTGTCTGGCCAAATTGGCTGCACGTTCTTCGTGGAACAAATTCACCAATTGTGCTAGTTGATGTTGAATTTGGTCTCTCATAACTCCCCTCTTTGATACCAAGTTGTTATGGTCCCCTGTTATGGATTTAGTTATGGTCTATGGGACGCTGCAAGATAAAATCTGAAGTTTTCTTCTTACAACCTATGGTGCTAGTTCGCTAAGAGAGAACCTGCAATCTCTTGAGTTAAAGTACTCAAAAACTGAAATTACTTTTCTGCTTACCTTTCTTGAGACAAACAAATGGTTTAAATACAACACTTAAAAAGATAACTACCCTTAGAAACTAGGACATGACTTCCTAACATTACTGGAATGAAAAACTGCACTATTACAGGAAAATAACTACTACTAAAAGGAAATAACTACTGCTAAAAAGAAATAACTAATGCTGTAACTATTGGATGACTAATGAGTGATAACAAAATCCCACACCCACACACATGTCGTGTCGACACAGTTGCGGTACCAAAAGAGTCCGCACAACTTAGATGAATACTGTGGGGTCTTGACTTGGGAGTAGGGAGAAAGAAATTGAGATCACTTTCTTAATCTCAGTTTAGCTTTGAGTTGCATCACCGACAAAAACACTCTTGTTATTATACCTCATCTATAATTAACAGGATACACAATCTACATTATGTTTAAAAAAGATATGTTACATGTTCTGTTCCTTGAGTTTTTCATTCAAATCTTCTGTATCTCCTTTGTTGTTTCAAACTTGATTTATGATACATAACAAGTAAATCAAATATTATGTAAAGTCCATCTCAGTTGTCAAAATCCGTGAGTTACTGCATACCTGATTAGCTTATATTTTCTGATTGCTCCATGGTCGCCTCACACTTCATCCCTTGTATGCTCTGACGTGTTATCCATCTTTGTAGTTCTCATCTAGTATGACCCCCTTCCCCCTCTTTGTCTTTACATCCAAGCTTGTACTTAGGATACCCTTAAGCTGTCCATCTTGTATATGCAACCTCTGCCATCTCATGATTGCTGCGAGACTTAACAGGTTTATGGTTATCATTATTCATTTATTAGCCTATAGATAGCTTTATGATATTATGGAAGTTACTAATGTTACTAGTGTTTCTATTTATAGTTTCTAATTATCAATGTGACTTTCTGGTCTTGTGCACTTTTCATCATTGAGGCTAGAAGTGGTTGATAATATTTGGATTACTCATGAACATGTTCAAGATGCTTTGTGGATAGCTAATCAATGTAATACTAGCTGCATACAAGGCACTAATTGTGAGCTGTAGTAAAGCATTATCTTTTTTTTTTTTTTGAGAAGTGTACTATTCCTCAAGTCAAGGAGAAAGAGCATGTGGATCAAATATGGAAAACAAAGGAAAAATCGGTGTCCTTTCTCTCAAAAACATCAAAATGATCTTGAAAAAGATCACGTGGAATCACACACAAACAACCTGGACAAAAAAAGAAGTGACTTGGACAAGAAGAAACGAAGTATTTGCTGATAACTCAAACCAATCAATTGAATATCGATTATACATAATAGATTGAACACTATTTGAAAACGGCTCTATCCTAAGTTTTAAAATATGGTAAATGCTGACTATCTGCAACCATTACTTTTAACGAGAAAAGTGATGCTGACTATCCTCAACTTGTTTGGCCTTGAAAGAACAGTTTAATTAGATTCAAGACGTGTTATCTGATGCTTGCCTCTTTGCCAGGGGTTTCTTTATATGGTGGACCCAAAGCAAGCTCCCTGCTCAAGATTCCAGAGGCACGCACATTTCATCACGAATATAGTTCACTAGCTTGCACTGTGGAAGTTGTTGAAGATGTATATGCTGCGATAGATCATATACATCAGCATGGAAGGCATGTTATGTTTGCCTAATTTTTTTTTAATAGGATGCATTATGATTTCTTTTTTTTTAAATTACTTCATATTGAAGCTCCGGTTCCATGCAAACTTTTGCAATCCTTATTTTGTTATACCCAACTCACTGCAGTGCCCACACCGATAGCATCATTACCGAAGATCAGGAAGTTGCTGAAGTTTTTTTACGTCAGGTTGACAGGTATATTTACTGGATTACTTTATCTTATCATTCTTATGTTTTTCAACTTCATCCTTTATTACAACTCATGAATAGTTTCTTCAGTCTGATAGACTAACTACCTGTTTGGATTGGCTTTTCGATTTTGACTTATAAGACAAAAGCCATAAGTTGGAAATTCTAACTTATGACTTTTGGCTTATTTTTATCATTTTAGCTTAAGCTTAAAATCAAGTGCTTATAAGCACTTTTTAAATTTACCCAAACACAGAAGTGCTTAAAAACACTTAAAATAAGCCAATCCAAACAGGCTGTAAGTCCTCTGCCATTTCATTAGTTCCCAATAATAAGTTTTGCTCATTGTAGTTAATCATTTTGTGGGGGGAATACATTTGATTTTCACTTTTCAGTGCTGCTGTATTTCACAATGCAAGTACAAGATTTAGTGATGGATTCCGCTTTGGACTTGGTGCAGAGGTATATAATCTATCAGTGATTCCAAATTATCTTTTGGCATTGTAGTTTCATATTTATCTGTATCTTGCTTGCTTTTGGGTGAATAGGTGGGCATTAGTACTGGTCGTATTCATGCTCGTGGCCCAGTTGGAGTTGAAGGATTGCTAACAACTAAATGGTATGTGTGCTATCAACTGTTTTTTTACTTCAGTTCCTCTTCTACTTCTTTCTGGCTTTAAGTCCTACCTGGAAAGCTACCACTCTTGAGAGTTTGCCTTTTGAAACAACAAAACTGTTTCTTCTCAATTCTCTTTGGCGACTCATATATCTCTTATGATAAAAGAGAAAATGGAAGTAAAGAAGATGATGTAGTCAGTTTAATCTCCTTATGCAAGTCGAAATGAATTCTCTCAACTTGACCTAGATACCATTTCTTTCCTATACGACATATCCTTCAGCTTTATTGCATTTGCTACAACTTCTTAATTATATTTTTGTCTGTCTGCATGATGAACTTGGTATTACTTCCTTACAGGATCACATGTGACTGACTGCCCACACTTAGGTTTTTTTCTTGACCAAACCAGTCTTTTAGACCTAGTGCAGCAAGATCTCAGTGCATATCCAGCCTGCATTCCTTTTCCCGGTTGTTTTCCTACTTGGCAAGATTCAGGTGCCTCTGTTTCTTAGTATCATGGCACTACTACCCCTGTAACATCTATTCACATGTTTCGACATCCTGCCAATAATGATTCCGCCATCTCATCACTTACTCTTCTTCTTTTCTTTTGCCCCCTTTCTGAGTACATCGTTCACATTCGACTATTAGCTCAAATCCACAATTACCTCCTCCTTGGTAACATGTACCTCATTTTTCTACCATCTTCTTTCTCGAGTTTCATACCTTACTAACTGATACTGTCACAATCTCTCTTAATGGTTGAGGTCAACGCTCTAGCCTCGAGATTCCGATCCGTTGCTTGAACATCTAGTACGTACATGATTTTCTAGGAACTTCACATTCACTTGCCACCCTAAGCTCGATCGTGCGGAGTGGAATGATTCATGAAAGCATAGTTCTATTGCATGATTTTGAGTATGAAAGAAAGGTAAGTTTTCCTAAATGTCTGTGTAGCCTCCCCCTTGTAGATGTGGTCGACAACAAACCAATAAAAAGGACTCTACTGAACACGATTTAATTGACTTCGTAGGATACATAAACCATGAACCTAGTGCTCTAATGGTAAGTTTGTCACACCCTAAAACCTTGGTGAGCCAGACTGGCACTCGGTGCCTTAACTTGACCGAATGGACCAACTAGTCATGAATCATAGAAACTTACATAAACATGAAACATATGTATACATAGAGAAGTCTTTGGGCCTGAAACATACAACTGACATAAGACCCAACTGAAACATGAGTCACAACATCTGTACATACATGACAACATCAACACAGGTCTATGAAGCCTCTACAATAATCTAGGACCTGTAGGAAGTGTCAGGACAGGGCCTGACCTTCTCAAATCTCTATATACAATTCACGGATACTAGATTAAAACCCAGGTAGTAGCCGAGATGAAAACATGTTTCACTTTCATTAACAAGCTCTCTTGCCATTTCCAAAATTCAGTCATTTGAAAATTCGTAGTAAAATCCTCTATTCACAAAATAACTTACTTTATGCATATAATTCTGATTCATGGTGTAGCTTATACCCATTTGTTGGAGTACTCCCACATTTGAAATTACAATTCAAGCTTTTAAAACATTTAATGAGTATGTCTTAGAAGATTAAGCCTCAACTTACCTCAGCCTCCGAGCTCAAATTTGAGTTCTGTCCCACAAGCTGTCAACAAGTCATATTCTAACATATAATATGGGTTTGACAGATTTCAATTACGCTTGACAAGCTCAATGCGTCAAAATTGGACTAAGCCCTAATTCATCGTTTCCCAAAGCCATGTTCTAGCGTGGAGTCTTAACTCACTCATTCTATTTTATACTTCCAATTGCTCATAAATAACTAATGGGATCATTTATGACTATCCAATCTATCACCTCAACCATGAAGACCCTCTTCACCTTCCTTGTTTTTAATGTCCATAAATGGATTTTCACCATTCCACCATCCAACCACTAGTTAAGTACATTCAGTACTCTTAGGGGTCGTTTGGTACAAAGATTAATAACACAGGGATTAGTGGGATTAGTAATGCAGGAATTAGTAGTGCAGAGATTAGTAAATGTAGGGATTATTTTTATGAAGTGTTTTGTTCATTGTTTTCCACCACATCTTGTGTTTGGATTAAAACTCTATAAAAAGCTTCTTTCCAATTATACTCTAGTATTATTATGTAATTGGATTGAGGTAGATAATTGCAGTGACAATATTATTTTTTACGACCTTCTAACTAGCTAGGAGAAGAACTTTTTTGTTCTCATGTGTGCTATTTTTTCACTTAAATTATTTGAGGATAAATATTTGTCATCTTAATAAATTGATCACTCACAAAATGTCAATTTTTTGAATTTAAAAAAGATAAACCAGTTACTTATAAAACCGAAAAGATGTAAACAATAGTAAAATTGAGTAAACTATCTACATTTACACATAAAAATTGCAAGTTATAGTTTTAATATATATGCAATTTTATAAATTGTTTAAAATACAAATAATTAGAAAACCACACAAATATATATATATATATATATATATATACACACACACACACACATACACACGAAACATCATGTGGTGTTATATTTTCCTTTTTAATTAATGTTAAACAACTCACATTTTGAAATATGGTATTGATTTCTATTGGATTTATTTAGTAACAAACAACCCTCTCTAAATAATTTGTAAGCTAATTTATTTAAATAAATTTACTAGTACAAATATAAAACATAAAATCAAGAAAAGGATTAAAATGATTTGAGGGATATTTTTGTCTTTATATAGACTTATCCCATGGTATTAAATCCTATGTATTACTAATACCTCCAAATGGAAGGTATTAGTAATACATCCTCTAATACCATATAGGGTGTATAACTAATCCATGGATTAATTATACATAGGTCTAAATTCTTACCAAACATAGTACTAAATAGGCTTAAGTCATCAGTGGCCCCTTAAAGTTGTTCGCATAATTGAACACTTTTACTAAGTAATACTAAAATTCTTCCAATTGAACACTTGGCCGGTTAACAGTTTTTAACTGATCTTAAAGGATGCCTTACACCTTCCCTTTAGGCTTAAGTCATCAGTGGTCCCTTAAAGTTGTCCTCAACTAAGACTAGTACCTATTGAACACTTTTACCAATTCAAAAATTGTTCCTATTAGGCATTTTTTGATAATCAACAAAATATATGAAGATTGTGTGATACACTTGCGGTGACGTGGCAAAACGGCTAATTAAAAAATAACATGTGGCACTGGACCCCGAAAATTATAAAAAAAAATTTTGTTTAAAATTATTTCAAACACTTTTTATATCTAATTTTTTTAAAAAGAAAAAGAAAAAAATGAAAATGTCAACCTATTCTACCCAACCCCACCCCTACCCAACCCCCTTTCATCTTCATCTTCTTCCCAAAACACATTCTTTCTCAAATCACAAAATCTAATTCTTTTCAAATAACTTGAAGATTAACTTTTAAAAAATATATATACGTTTTCATACTAAGAGTGAAGAAGAAAGAAAATTTTGCCGGCGGTTATTCATTTCTACATCGAAGACAACATGAAATTGATAGCTCAAAAATGAATTCTTTCAAATTTTTGAATATCATTTTTGATAAATTTAATGGGTTTATATATGAATTTGAGTAAAAATCTTTGTTCGAAAATTGTGATAAACAAATATTGGCAAACTTTTTTTATACGTAAAATTCATTTATTTTCTTTCTTCTTCTTCATATTTGTTCCTTATTTTTATGAGATTTGAAATAAATCATACGAACTTTCAAATCTGAATCTTCATAGTTAATTTTCATTTATCTTCATAATTGGAAGAAATAATATTCTTATTTTTATAAAAAAGAAAGAAAAACAATGTTGGAGCTAAAATGAAGAAAGTTTTGCAAACTAAAGTATGAAGCAGATGATAGGTAGGGAGTGGGGTCCTTTTCTTTTTTGAAAAAAGTGTAAATGAAAGAAGAAAAATGTTTTTAAGTTAATTATAATGCCAAGTGTCAATAAAAGAAGAAAAAATTTCAAAAAGACACTATTTTGAATCTTTTCACACGCTTCAGGGAAGTGCAAAACACAACGTTGTGTTTAATAGGTACATGTTTTGAACAATTTAGGTGTTCAATAGGTACAAGTCTTAATTGAAATGTCTAAGTGAATTATGCGGACAACTTTAAGGGGCGGTCGATGACTTAAGCCTACTAAATAATACCATACATAATACATGGACTATTTCTCCTAATACTCCCTACCAAACGACCCCTTATAGCATAACAACACTAATATATTAAGCCCAAGAGTTGGAATTACTTTTAGGGGTCTTGGTGTGGCTGTGGTGGATAAGAGGAGTTAATCCCAAGATAATTTTTGAGTGCACTTCAATCCATTGTTTGGTTGCAAAGGTTGGGATAACTTATCACAGGATTAACAATTAGTCCTGGGATAAGTTATCCCTCCCTGGGGTGGAATAGTAATCCTAGGATAACTTATCCTGAGATAAAATATGTAAAATAACAAAAATATCCCCCTTAAACTCTCTTTTATACACTACTTTACATTCATGTATATTAACATAATTCTTAACAACATTTATAATAGCATTCACAATCTTAATTATTCGTTATTTTTATGATAATATATTTTTCTATTAAAAAATTACATTTTATAAGTACAATTTTTATTTATGAATATATTATAAGTTGGATTTATTTGCCCAATTCTTATGTTTATTTATATTTTTATTTCTCCTAAAATGTATACTCCACTACTAAATTGCATATTTTTAATTAAATAGTTTATTACTCTCTTAAAAATGATCTTTTATATATCAATTAAATTGTAGCTAACTTTAAAATGTAGAGAACTTCAATAATAAAATTTCTTTTACTTTAATAAACTTAAAATATAAGTTTTATTTTTAAGCTAAATAAGATGGAAATTTATTTTTAAGCTAAAAAAGATGAAAATTTTATTTTTAAGCTAAATAAGATGGAAGTTTTATTTTTAAGTTAAATAAGATGAAAGTTTAATTTTAAAAACAGACGTCACAATCATGGAAATGCACACACAAAAATATTTAAGCTAAAATAAGATGGAAAATTTATTTTTAAGAATGAATAACTAAATCTTGCAAAGAAAATGTAAAAAAAAATTCAATAAGGTGGATGGTATTTTTGTAAACAAACAACTTATTCTTAGAAATTATGCCATGAATATAAGTTTGAATATGACAAACCAAACAAGCAATTATAACTACTCCTAGCATAGCTAATCCCAACATAACTTATCCCACTATAACTAATCCAACATACCAAACGACCCCTTAGAGTTCAAATCTCAAAATCTTACCCATAGGTTATTGGTGGAATTTCCTTGGAACTTTTCAAATTCATGATATTGATATTGATATTAATATCATGATAAGGGAGTGATATAATGCATTTATAACGTCTGAGCAGTTGGCAAAAGCACTGAGCATGCTTTATTTCGTGGTCGCACTGCCTGATTTTCCCTCTCGGAAGTTTTTCTTTCACGGCCGTGATTTGTCCCCTTCACACACCTTTTAGTAAATGTTTGTATGGGTGTTCAAATGACAAGTGTTTGCACTAGACTTCAAGGGCACAACTTTCATTCATAATATCATGGCCGAATTTCTTCTAGATTAAGAGATGTACTCCTTTGAAGTTACATTTGGATGTCTTTATCCATTATCGTTTCGAACTTGCTCCAAACTTTTGTTCTGAATTTTCAAACATCCATATAGCTTTTCAAGCAGAAGATTTGGATATTATACTCCTTCTCAACTTGTCAAACACTCCTATGCACAACTTAAAACTAGGCGTGGACATAATACGTAGCGAAAATTTTCCACAGCTTTGTCATCTCTACCATTAGTTTAGGGTTTAAGACCAAAACTGTCTAATTTTTGTATATTTTTGTTTAGTGATATACATCCAAGGACCATAATTGTCCAACCCGTATATATTAAGGGCCATTTTATCAATACTTCATCACCAAAATGAAATGAAAACAATAAAAAAGATCAGAGGCATGAGTTTGCCATGGTTTTACTGTGTCTTGTATGTGCAAGAGGAAGAGTTTATTTGCTGTTTAAAATCTATACCAAGTTCTAGAGTCCAGTACCTATTTCATGCTGAAATGAGTTTTCTTCCTTCAAATTTTCTTAAGCTTGTTTACTTATTTTGATTGGGCGTAAGAATTAAATATTGAATTTTATTCTGCATTTTGGACACGAGTTATTTACCCAATGCTGCAATTTTGTATAGGCTTGCAAGGGGAAGTGGACAAATTGTTGATGGTGATAAATCAATTGTGTACAGTCACAAAGACCTTACTCAGCAAGGGTGATTGTCCAGTTGTGTATTTAGGAAGATTTTGTATGGTGCTATTGGATGGTGGGTAAAGCAGGTTTGGTGCTTACCCAAAGATTTTCTGTATGTTCCAGCCATGGAGATAGATTGACTTGTGATCATTTGCATACACAGGCCAAACACTCTTAATATTATTCTGTATTATTTAACATAGTTATGTTGTTACATAGGTTTTAACTTGCAGCCTAATTTGTCCAATTATAATAATATCGAAATGTGTATTTCAAATAATTAAAAAGACGTTTCATTTATATAAATGTCCTGGCCAACTTGCAATTTTTCTTCTAGGTTATTGTTACCTCCCACCATCATAATTATTAGATAATTTTGCCAACCAAATCTTAGGAAGATGAGGCCTTGTCTATAGTGAGATTTCAACCTTGGTTTTCACGGTTTGAACTAAATTCATTGAATATTAAGTCCACCTTAGGAATTCAATGAAATTGAAGATGGATTCTTCAACATATGACCGCTGTGAAGGAAATCAATAATCTTAAATCTTGTATAGGAGAAAAGCAAGTAATAATTTAGAATTGAAATGCTATCAATTTATTACTCAAAAGAAACAATCAAGAGAATCTAGAAACTAATTTAATTAAACATTAAAATATGAGATACTATACAAGGTAGAAATAGAAAGAGAAAATACATCAAATCTTCCCTAAACTTGATAGTAAAACTTATTTTAGCACTTTAACTACACAAATGTCTATTTACCCTCCTAATCTAATATGAAATGAATTAAATATCATCCTAAAAATATAGTAGTGACGATCTCACAATGAAAAGTGTATTATGTAAAGGTAAAATGCTAAAGTAAATTTTACTGCCAAGTTCAAGGAGAATTTGATGTATTTTCTGAAATAGAAACGAACTCAGTAAGATAGTTCAAGAGAGGTTCAATATGGTGAAAAAGGATAAACCTATAAATCACAAGTGTGTTCAATATTATCTTTCAAAGGTAGCTGATGAAATAAGAACCCTAAAGAGGAGGGGTTAGTTTCAAATACATACAATAAAGTAACTAGTTTACAATAAATATTTATGTATAAAATAGCCAAAAGTCATAGAAAGTATACATTGACTATACAATATTGCTTACTTATACATGAACTATACACTTTCTATACATTATGATACACTCAAAAATCTGAATATAGCTTAACTATATATGAAGTATACATTGACATTCAATCTCGATTAACTCAAAATCACTTCTAAATGTTCCCTAATTTTAGATATAAAATTCTCTCAATGTTTCAAGTCTTTTGAGATATAATTCGCTCAAAATAATTCACATTTGCAATATGTCGATTTTTTTTTATTTCTTAAAAAAAGGAGGCGAAGAAGAAGATACAGAAGAAGAATGACAAAGAACTACTTATTTTTTTAAGTGGACTATTCAAACAAATGAACATTTTGTCTAATTTTCCAAAGAGTCTATTCATACTAGGAGTAGTTATTCTAATGGGTCGACATAAATACTCAAAATACACTTCTATGCTTGAAATTAGCACTGGGTTTTGTTCTTTTATATACCCACTTAAGTATATGTATAAATTTTAGGAATCATAGTTTTAATATGAAATTACAATATATCCCTATTTAGTTTGTAATTACATTGATCCCTGAAAAAGTAACACAATTCGGATACATTAAAAAATAGCACGAATACATTAAAAAATAAACGTCATATATTTTATTGTTGCGCTTTAATGGATAACAAAAACGAAAAATCCCTTAATTCATGCAAATCAGTTTCATCCTTAATGTCAATGATAGAAACATGATTCCCAAAATAACAAACCAAATCATAATTCAAAAATTCAAATCGTGTTTGTCTTCTTTCCTGTTTCAAAGAAGAAATATTCGAGTGAGAATCAATTTTTTTGTTGTGAGTTTGATCAGATACATAATGAATATCTCAATTTTGTTGATGCATTCAAGAGTATGGGAGAGTGAGGTTAAATATGAAAGATACATGAGTGATGGGATAGTGGTTGGTGAAAATGTTTCCTTCATGAATCTAGTTTCAGCCATTGCGGTTGAGTTGAATATTGATGAGTCAAGAAAAAAAATTTGAAATCCGATACATTGTAGAAGGAAACTCCTCTACAATGAGTATAAGGAATGATATGGGAGTAAAACTGTACGTAGAGGTAAAGAAACGCGAGGTTGGATTTGGTATGTATCACCTCTGTATTGATACAACTGATAAGGATGTTGGCGATATAGAAAGTTTTGATGTGTCGACTGGTGCAATCGTCTGTGTCGAAGGTGCTGAAAAGGATACACGTGCTCTCAACTTGGTATAATAAAAAAATGGTGATTCGTGTTATATACCAGAGATGGAGGTAACGAATAACATATCTGATACACACAGTACAAATGTGAAAGTAAATCAATTGTACAAGGATAAAGTCACTCTAGTATCTGTAGTGGCAAAATACAAAATAAAACATGGCTTCAATTTTTAAGTTAAAAGATCTGATAACAAAAGGTACGCAACTCATTTTTCATTCATGCATTTGAATTTGGTGAATCAATCATGATACTTTATTTGCTATGAGGTTGATTCATTAAATGTTTGGCGTGTTATTTTGAGTTCTCAGATCTGTAAGTTACAGTATTGTTATTATAATGTATCATGTATATGTGACACTACTATTTTTTGAATGTTTAAATATATGTATGCGTAGCAAAATCATGATACATTATTGCATTACAGTTGATACATTTATGATTTGATGTGTATTTACTATTTAATATATTTTTGTATCTATGAGTTTTTGTAATATTATTATAACGTATCGGAAATATTTGAACTTTTTTTTATATGTTAATGCATCAATATATGATTGTTTTCATTAATGTATCATTGTATTTTGGTGAAACATTAAGGATATATTACCGGCTAAAAGTATGATACATTAAACTTGTGACGTATATATTTTGATGTATCATATTTGCGAGTTAGAGTACTGTTAATATAAAGTAACTGATACATGTGACTCTACTTTATTTGATGTTTGATTTTCTTTATGCGTATAATAATGATGATACATTATTGCATTCAACTTGATACAAGTATGATTTGATGAATATTTCATAGTTAATGTGTTTTTGTATCTTTGTGTCAATGTAAGATTACTATAAAGTATCAGATATATTTCACCTTATGTTAATGTATCAGTATAGTAATTTTTCACTAATGTAGCCTTGTGTATAGAATCTATTATTTTAATGTATCAGTTAGGCATTTTACTAATGTATCTGGAAAAAATGCAGCTATGTATTATTGTGTTTATTAGATGATTGTTGTTGGAGATTGAGTGCATATGTTAGTAAGAAATCAGATTTATTCAAAGTGAGGTACTTCAATAGTGAGCATATATGTCCGTTGAGGGATAGGGTATTAACAAAGGTTCAAGCTACAGTTGGATTTATTAGTGGTGTGACAGCGCCTAAACTGCTCAATCATAAAATAATTCATACTCCAAATGATGTTATTGAGGATATTAGAGAACTGTATGGGATTGATATTTCATACCAGCAAGCATGGCGTGCTAAGGAGCGTGCATTAAAGATGATAAGGGGTAAACCTACGAATGAATATAGACAGTTGCCTAAATACATATATATGTTGAAAACTGTGTATCCAAATTCTTATATACGGATGCATAAGTCGGAGCAAAATCAGTTCATGTATCTGTTCATAGCATTAAGGCCATTAATGAGAGGGTTTGATTTCTGTAGACCAGTAGTTGTTGTTGACGGTGCACATCTTGGTGGAGCTTACAAAGGAACTTTTGTATCAGCAAGTACGCTTGATGGTCCAGGTATGATTATTGTATTAGAATTTATAATTTTTTGTCTCATAACAATGATTACTTGAATTTGATACTTTATATATGGATAGTTGTGTATCTAGAAATTAACAAACATGTGCGCTATTTATGAGTATGATGCATATTGCCGTTAGCTTATGGAGTGGTGGACAGTGAAAATGATTGTTCATGGACATGATTCTTCCAACAGTTTAAAAGTGCATTTGGGGAGAGGAAAAAATGTGTGTTGTATCAGATAGAAATGAAAGCATAATTAAGAGTGTCAGTACTGTTTTTTCCAATGTTTCTCATTTTGCATGCATATGACACCTTTGGAAAAATGTTTGTTCAAACATCAGGAGAAGCAGAAACATACTAAGTGATGTGTTCTATTCAATGACCAAGGCTTATAGAAAAGAGGATTTTGACAAATTGATGGCTAAAGTCGTTAAAATTGACAACCGGGTTAAGATGAATCTTGAGGATGTTGGTTATGAAAAGTGGTCAAGAGTTCATGCAAAAGTAAACAGGGGGAGAATGATGACTTCTAACATAACAAAATGTATCAATGGTTGGCTTGTTGAGGCGCGATGACTACCTATAATAGATTTTTTGGAAGAAGTCAGAATTCTATACGGTTCTTAGAACCCTAAAAATAGAGAAATAACATCCTATACAAAGGAAACATTAGGGAGGAGATTTGAAGAGTTGTTGATTCTAAATGTTTCTAAATGTTAAAAAATGAAGGTATGTACCAATATATAAACTATCATGTATTTGGAATTGGTTATTGTTTGGCTGTTGTGAGTATAAAATTGATTTAATTGATATGCGGTTTGTGTCTTAATTAATGTTATTAGGTTGTGCAATCTACTGAATTTATTTATTCAGTTTATGAATGTGGGCGAAGATACATTATTTGCTTTGAGAGAAAAATCTGTAACTGTGGGAGATTTTAGCTAGACGAGATACCTTGTGCGCACGCATTTGCTGTTTTGAAGAAGAAAAATATTATAGATATACATCCCTACTGCTCAGATTACTATAAGTCAGCTGCATTGGCAAACACATATGAAGTTCTGATGGTTCCAATGCCGGATAAGGAGGATTGTTCAGCATTGGAGTTTTTTTTGGAAGAAATCGTCTTGCCACCAAGATACAAAGGCTGGCTGGACGACCAAGGAAAAGGAGGAAGGAAAATCTAGATGAAAAGATAAGCATAAACACAAACTGTTGTGGATAGGAAGGTCAAAATCGAAGAATTTGCACTTTCTTCCCGAAGAAGATTGACCGACTTCTTTGTTAGAGCTACTGTTATGTTTCAGATACATTATTTTAAGATTACATGTTTTCAATTTTTTTGCATTCTCACTTTTACCTTGATAAAACATTACAATTTACTATTAGCCAGTGAAATTTTG